TATTCCAGGTGGAGCCTGACCAAAGCAGAATAGATTGGCACTATGACTTCTCTATATTGATGCAGCCTAAAATTGCATTGGCCTTTTTAGCTGCTGCATCGCACTGTTGACTCATGTTCAACCTGAGGTCCACCTGGACTCCTAGATCCCTTTCACACGTAGAAATCTCGATCAGCCAGGTGCCCCCCATCGTATATCTGTACTTTTCATTTTTCCGCCCTAAGTGCAGTACCTTACATTTCTCCGTGTTGAATTTCATTTTGTTAGCTTTGGCCCAACTTTCTAGTCTGTTCAAGTCATTTTGAATTTTGATCCTGTCCTCTGGGGTATTAGCTACTCCTCCTAATTTGGTGTCGTCTGCAAATTTGATAACTATGCCCCCAATACCGTCATCCAAGTCATTATGATATGAGAACCCTGTTTAAATATTTGAAGGGATGTCATTTTGAGGATGGAGCAAGCTAGTTTTCTGAAGCTCCAGAGAATAGGACATAGAGCAGTGGATTCAAACTATAACAGATAAAAGTGATTCCACCTAAACCTTAGGAAGAACTTCCTTGTGGCAAGAACTGTTCAACAATGGGAGATGCAGCCTCCTAAGGTGGTGGAGTCCCCTTCTTTGGAGGTTTTCAAACAAAGGCTGGATGGCCATCTGTTACAGGAAGGGCTTGGATCTTGTCTTCCTGCATGGCTAAAGAGGGATGGACTGGATGGTCCTTGTAGTCTCTTCCAGCTATATGAGTCTATGGCTCTATTGAAATGGTGAGTTTTCTGGTGGGACTTGGATTGTTGCACGGTCAGAACAGAATCAAGACCTCTATAACAACCCAAAATTGGGTTACGGTGATGTAGGACCAATGTATGAATTTTAACTCATCCACAGAAGTCCAACCAAGGTTCTTTTTGCATCTCTAACAAGAGTAGGTGAACCATCCTCCTGCATTAACAATTTGTGTGCCCATTTTCTAACATCAGTACAACAACTATGACAGAAAAGAGTGTGTGATTCCAACAGTTTTCCTGCTTTTTCTGAAGTGTATGTTGCTGTTGAGATCAGTGTTACAATACCGATTGGTGTGGCAGAGGAACGAACGGATACAAATGATCCGGAGATGTTTCCAAACGTCATGCACCAAACTAATGTCCGGGAATGGAGCATAATGCAGTGAAACCAGAAGAAAAATAAATCAGGGATGAAATTTTGTGGCCCTGGAGGTTTGGTCCCCTGATCCCCACTAAACCACTAAGAATCTGGTGGTGATTTGCAAAGTAACGCTTTGATCGTGTCGCCATAAATCTTTAGACTGCCAGCATGATCCGGGTTTTTGTCATTTGGATGCATTCCCCACAGAGCTGTGCCCCTCAAACGTCTACCAACAATAATAACTTATCAAGAGATGGCTGCAGTAAAGCAGTCTAGGATCAATTCATTTCCAGACATAATTCAGCAGTTCCAACAGACCATTCATTTCCATTCATTTCAATTACACTAACGCTGTAACATTTCAAATCTGCTGCAAAACAGACAGTACCCATCATAATAAGACAACAGATGCCAGAGTCAGATATGATCAAAACCTCCAGTACAGGGAGATATTAATCATGCAACAGCAAGTGCTTCGCAAATGCCACATTCAGGAAATGGCAGCCAGATTTAGCAGGGTGACCAGTATGAAAAATGCTCAGCACTGGGGTGTGTCTGGGACTGCATCTACACTGCAGCGTTAATGCAGTTTGACGCTGCTTAAACTTCTGTGGTTCAATGCTATGGAATTACTGGATTTGGAATTTTGTTGGATATTTAGCCTTCTCTAGCAGAGAGCTCTGGTACCCCCAACAAACTACATTCCCATGATTGCATAACATTCAGCCATGAAGGCTAAAGCAGTGTCAAACTGCATTAATTCTGCAGTGTAGATGCAGCCTGGTGTTGATGTGAGGGCTTGACATGAGGCAGCCAGCTAGATCGGCCAGCTCTGGCCTCCCTGATGGTGGCCATTGGATCCAATATGGGTTTTAGGGGTTTCAACAGTGCCAAGCCTATTTTTGGTGGTAAGTTTCAGCACCACTGGATAGTTCCTTTAATTTTCACAGTAAAATCTGAACTCACCACGGCTCTCATGGGAGAGGCACCCGGCCCAAATCAAATGGGATCTGGAGGGGAGTGGATTTTGCAGCAATTCTAGAAGAACCTATAGCTTTCAGATACTTGCGATGAAAGGACCGATAGTCAAAAGTCAGCATGGGGAATCCAACCCAGATTGGTACCACAGAAGGGGATAGAAAGTTAAATCTGCTTCCCCTCTATGCCCGGGTCTGTCTGGAATTGCATAGGCAACTTTGTGGTTGTTGTTGCTGTGTGCCTTCAAGTTGTTTCTGACTTATGGCAACTCTAATGCAAACCTATCTTGCAAATTTGTTCAGAGGAGTTTTCCATTGCTTTCCTCTGAGGCTGAAAGACTATGACTTGCCCAAGGTCACCCAGCAGGTTTGCACAACAGAGCAAGGATTCGAACCCTGGTCTCCAGAGTCTTTGTCCAATGCTTAAACCACTACACCACTTGGGCTCTCACAGGCAATGTTGTTGTTGTTGTTGTTGTTGTTGTGTGCCTTCAAGTCATTTCCAACTTGTGGTGGCCATCAGACAAACCTATCATGGGGTTTTCTCGGCAACAGAGGGGGTTTACCATTGCCTAGCCCTGAGGCTGAGAGCATGTGAGCTTGCCAAAGGTTTCATGGCTGAGCCGGGAATTGAACCCTGGTCTCCAGAGTCCTAGTCCAATGCTTCAACCACTACACCACGCTTGCTCTCATCATAGGCAACCTACCTAGCAATAAAATATTGGGGATCAAGGGTGATGGGTTATAGAGTCAAGCTGGTATTGCTAGATCATGGTGGCTTCATACCCAGGTGCTGAGATAAGGCTGGAAGGGAGGCAGACAGGAGCCAAGCCTGTTCCAGTTTGAGTCTGTGAAAAGGATCCCATTGTAACAACAAAGCAAAAGGGTCCGTCCTGGAGAGCATGGGAAAACGTTTTTGTTAATTAAAACAAATAAGAATTACGCCTGCCTGAAGTGTACGGAAAACTGTATTAATTAGGCAATTGTAACATTTCCTGGTCAAGTCAGTTCTGACAATTGAAGTCACCAGACTGGATCTCTAGTTTCTTAATAAAGGTTTTCTGAGTTTAAACTACTGGAGCTTGATTTTCTGAACTTGGCATCCTATGAGATTTGATAGGGTCACTGTTTAGATGAAATTTCTGACACTTGTTGTTTTTCTTGCCTTCAATTTGAATCTGGTTTATAGTGACCCTCTCCTTGCCAATTCCCTCCCATTGGAAACCAGAAAAAGACTTTCCAATTGAGTGTCTGTTGCTGTATTCTGTTTTTAATATTATAATTCTCTTTCATCAGCCTTTTCAAAAACTGCTTTAATGTTTTAATATCATATGATCTCAGAGCTGGAAGATACCCCAAGGGCCATCCAGTCTAACCCCCTGCCATGCAGGAACACACCATCAAAGCACTCCTAACAGATGATTGTTGCTTTTCAACTTTTACTTTATCGGTACTTTTTAACTGTATTTTGTTGAAGCTCAAATTGTAAGCCACCTTGGGTCCCATATAGGTGGAATACAAATTAAATAATCAGATAAACAAAGTGTGCTCAGACCTCCTCAGACCTCAGTCCTCTTCATTCAGAGATGGGACCCCTGAAGATCATCTAGCTGCCACCACCCACTGATTTTACCCTACTCAATGGGAAGTTACTGGGGGCTTCAATGGGTACTTTTTCCATCTCTGACTCTGCAGAGTCTTTCAGTTTGCTACCCCCTTGGAAGATATGCATCCTATATGCATGTGCGCGCGCACACACACGAACACACACCAAACAGGACACATGAAAAGAGTTGTGGGAAAGCAGTGATCTTAAAAGGAGAGCTTTTATCCTAAGCAAGCACTCTACAATAGCAAAAATACATGAAGACACCTCCCTTCAGATGCTCAAAGTACAGTTGGCCCTTCATATCTGCAGGGGATCTGTTCCAGACCCCAATACAGAGAAGACAAACCCAGGAACTCAAGTCCCATTGTCCCCAGTGGCAGTGCGATGTCCGTTCATGGCTTGCCGTTCATGGATGGTAAGCCCGCGGATGGCGAGAGCCCACTGTAGTACAAATAGCCTAGGTCATAGTCAGCCAGATTAAAAGGAAACTCATTGCCTAATGCAAATATTGAAACTAGGTTATCACCCCTTAAACTTCTCTTCCCTGGGCTAAATATATGCAGCACTCTCAGCTGTTTCTCAGAGGGAATAGTTCACAATTCAAGAAGGATATGGACAAGCTGGAGCGTATCCAGATGAGGGCAACCAAAATGGTAAAAAGGTATGAGTGGCTGGCTGAATGAGACTACGTGTGAAAGGGATCTAGGAATCCAGGT